TCCTTTTTCAAAACAGGCTTTTTTCTGTGTAGCCCTGGCTGTCCTGGAACTCTCTTTGTAGACCAGGATGGCCTCAAACTCACAGAGATCAGCCTGCCTCTGTCTCCTGAGTGCTGGGATTACAGGTGTGAGTCACCACTGTCTGGCTGGAGCACTCAGTTCTAAATGGAATGTCTTCATCAAACCCCTCCCCTCAAGACTGAGGGATCTGTGTAGAAGAGGAGGCAGAAAGATTGTAAAAGCCAGAAATGATGGATGAATCCAAGGAAACAGTTGGGTAGATAGGGAGGTGGAGAGGATCTGGAAGGAATTGGAAGAGGGGGAAATCCATTGTGTGGAGAAAACACTACCCATTGAATCATTAAGGTCAAAGGAAGGACCTATCCCTGCAGGAGTCACAACCACAGTGACCAGAAAGGGGATGAGAGCCAGCAATCTGTAGCAGGCCCTATCAGAACTCTGCCCACACCCACCAGCCCTCAGAGGCTGGTCAGCTTTAGTGGACAGTGGACATCCTTCTGTCGGACCACATCTTTCTACCTGAAGGTCCTTCTGCACACAAGGGCACTCACTCACGTGCAGTACAAGGGTTGGTGCCATGGCTAATCCTGGTTGTCATCTTGACACACTTGGGAAGAATGAACTTCAGCTGAGGAACTGCCTTCCTCATTTTGCCCTAAGGACATGTCTGTGGGGGCATTTTCCTGATTTCTAATTGATGTTGGAAGGCCTAGTCCACTGTGGGTGGCACCCACCCAAGAAGGTGGTCCTGGACTGTGTAAGAAAGATAGCTAAATGTGAGTTGAATCTGTGAACAAGCCAGTTAGACGTGTCCTTCCATGGTCTCTGCTTCAGGTTCTGTGTCCAGGTTCCTGCCTTGACTTCCCTTCCTGACAGACTGTAACCTTTGAGCTGAAATCAGCCCTGTCCTCCCCGAGCTATTTTTTGTCGTGGTATTTATCACAGCCGCAGGAAGCAGCTGAAGGAGCTGGCTTTTCTGGTGCCATCCTCTCCTGGTGAAGTGCACTGGTAGTGAGTGGGTGAGCACTGAGCTTCCTTACCCTGTGGGCAATCTGAGGCGTACTCAGTCTCCCAGGTGTCCCA